TTGATGGGACAGGTGTTGTGAATGAAACGGTGCCCAGCTTGAAAGAGCTCCTGTGTGTCGCTGAGTGTGTGCATTGGTGACTGAAAGATCTTCTGCCTCCATTTATCTGTTTAATACAGTGTGTTGAATTCATGTTAATGTGGATTTAAAGACTTTTCAATTAGTGGAAAAAAATCACAGGGAGGAATATAAAAAACACTCTAATCAACCAAAACTTTTGCAATCTCCATGTAGTTCCTCCGTGGACCCCCTAGGGGTCACGGACCCCCTGTTGAAGACCTCTGCTCTAATGCATTTCTTCCCATACATATACTTGTATATGGTTTTTATAATGATTTTGTCTTTTTCTTCTTTCAGTTTGTCTCCAAAACTGTATTATCTGCCAAACACCTATCCCTTAATGCTTTCATTGAGAGTTAAATTCTCCCACAAAGAAACTCTGAAGATTATCATTTGCCATGCGGATCAGTTTGTGCCAAGGTCTGTTAACGGGTGCCATCATCCTCAACCTCCTCATACTGTATTATGTTTCTCGAGCCCAGCAGCAGATGATGGACAAAAGAAAGGAGCTCGGGAGGGGTTCAAGGAGAGCTGTGCGGCCGGCTTCCCCTTTTGGCGGTGCCTTAGGTGAGCATGGAGGAATTGCTGCCGAGGGACATGGCAGGGGGCCACGAGTGACTGTTCTTCTTCGGGAATTTGAAAACTTTGAGAATTATGTAGGGGATGTAGCCAGTTCCTTCCTCCGTCAACGTCCAGAGCTTCCCTTTCTGGCTGTGGCTGACACGTTTCCATACCCGCCCCTTGTGCTTCCAGAGGGTGCACGGCTTTTGGTTCTCTCTCCCAGCCCCGAACAGCCTCCCCAGGCTCATAGGCCGGAGTTTCACGTTCAGACAGAGTTTGTGCTGTTGGTGCCTGATGGAGTGGAGCTGGAGCAACCAAGAATTTTTGAGAGACTTATTAAAGAGTTGGAAGGTGAAGGGGGAGGACCTGTGAGGTTGGTAGCTGTGCCTGTATTAGCCCGATCTGCAGTGCAGTGTCTTCATCTGCGTGTGAACCTCAAAGAGTGGACTGCCACCTACTCACCGGCCGCCTCAGGGAGCAGTGGGAGTGTGTGCACAGCTTTACAAGGAGATGCGGTAGTCCTGATTCGAACAGAGGACCTTTTTAACCTGTCAGTCCCCCTGGGGCGTCCCCTCTTTCCTGCCCTCTTTGTTCAAACTACCTTGAGGGGCTGGAAGGTCAAGCTGCTAGAGAGCCCTTGTTTCTCTGCAAACCACCGGCCACTTTTCAACTCTGCTCATAATCAATGGAAGGCCGACACTATACTGAAGGAAGCTACAGGAAGGCTCATGAGAAACTTTGGTTTGAAGCGTCTCCTGCTCCCTGAGGGAAAGGAGCAGTGGTTTGGCTGCACCAAAGAGACTCCTCGCTGCTTTGGCACTGTGCAGGATGACACTCCAGACTACCTGTATTTGGACCGCTGGACTCCTCCGTGCTGTCTGCGAGCGCTGAGAGAAACCACCAAATATGTCATCAATGTCCTGGAGAGCTCCGGCGTGCGTTACTGGCTAGAGGGCGGTTCTCTTCTTGGCGCTGTCCGCCATCAAGATATCATCCCTTGGGATTATGACGTGGACCTGGGTATCTATTTGGAGGATGTGCCCAACTGTGACCACCTGAAGAACCTGGACTCAGGCTCTCTGGTAGATGCTAATGGCTATGTATGGGAGCGGGCTGTGGAGGGTGACTTTTACAGAGTTCAGTACAGTGAGGCGAACCACCTGCATGTGGATCTGTGGCCTTTCTACTCACGCAACAGCGTCATGACTAAAGATACTTGGACAGAGCACAAACAAGACGTAGAGTTCCCAGAACACTTCCTGCAGCCTCTGGTGCCCATGCCCTTTGCTGGCATCACGGCTTACGGCCCCAACAACCAAAGGGCCTTTTTGGAGCTAAAGTTCGGAGAGGGTGTGATTGAGAATCCCCAATATCCCAATCCCATGAAAAAAAGACTGGATAGAAGCAAATTATGAGAGACAGTTGGGGCTCTAAGACTCTTTTATATGTTGCACTGTATTTATTTATTTACTGAAAAAAAAATACCTCAAAAAGTTTTCTTTGAAGGATGTGATTTTAGCAAGGTCATAGCTATAACGGTTTGAGTGTAACTAGCATTACAAGCTGCCAATATTGTATTCGAAGCTGCTCTAGGTTTTGTAATGTCAGATTTAATTGTAAAATAACTTAAAGTTTGAATGTTATATCTGTTCTTTAAGAGATGCACACCCTTAAAAAGGCTACTAGTCACAATTAACAATCATTAACTGGTTCGCTGTATAGTTGACTAAGTGTATTGTATAGCATTAATGTAATAGCTGTGAAGGTGGATTTTTTTTTTAAATGTTAAAGCTTTTTATGTTAAAAGTTGTGATTACCTGCAGGTTTTGAAATTTAATGCACCCAATGATCTCAGTTCTGTGGTATTTGTTTTAAAGTCCTTTTAGTGCTGCCCTCGTTGGGTTGAACAACATTGCAGTTGAATTTTCCTGTTGGTTCAAACATTACATGCTGGTAACATCTCTTGGACAAATAAGACTGTTACTCTTCGATGACAAGAAGAGGAGTTGAAGTGTTTGAAAAAAAAAATTCTACTTCCATATCTTGTGTGATGTTGTAAACCTGAGGTCCGTCCTCTATACTGGCCCCTCTAGAATCGGCCAGAAAGTTGGGTACAGTCGGGAAAAGCCACACAGAGTATAAAATGTCACCAACACCGTGTCTGCAACATTCAGCGCATCTCGTTTCCATGTAAAATGTTGATGGTCGACATAAACCAGCCTTTAGAGAGCAACATAAAGCTAGCGGCCAATAAGGCTCCGCAAAGCCTTCCTCAACCTCTGTAGGTTAAAAAAATCCTCCACCTCCAAAGGTTTGTCCATGACGTAATTTCCAGTGTCAGTCTGCTTGCTGTCCATGCTTTAATAAGGCTAGCTAAGCTAGCTGCCACTTTCTTCCGTCCTGTTCACACCGCACAGGGGACATGTCCCCGGTGGTCGCCTGCACTTTTTTACTGTCCCAAAACAATGTCACACTACAGTACACAGACAACGGTCGAGCACTAGGACCAATCGGAAAACTGCAGCTCAAACTGAAGCCCGCTTCCCTGAGTTTAGACAGCCAGTAAGCTCCTGATTGGCCCACCGTCTTTTCTTGTTTGATTTTCTGTCACTCCTGAGCTCACGTCACAAAAATCTGATGCGCCGCTGAATCGGGTCTGTGATTGGATGGTAAAAATGCAGAAGTTAGTTATATTAAAAAATACTTGCATCCCTCCCACTTCTGAACTTAAATTTCGTCCATGACCCTTTCTAAACCCCAGCTCCTGATCTCAGTAATTAGCCTTGCAACTTAGAGACTTTCATCACTGTTGGTGGCATTTTTCTAAATTTATCAGGGCTGTATTTATATGGAGTGAGTTACACTTCAACTTATTTGGCCTTAATTTTCCCCACTCTGTCTTTCTTGTGTGTTTTCATTCTAGCGTTCTCTCCCCTTTCACATTTCTCTCTCATACATTGGAGTAAATTTACAAGAAAATTAAACCTTTAACACAAACTAAACATTATATTATGGAGTCTTACGTACAGAATTTTGAGGGAATAGAATAATAGTACCAGGGTAGGGCTCTAACATTGCATAACTATGCCTATATTATTATCGAAAGTTGTTGACATACTCATACTTATTAAATTGCATTTTCCTCTTTATGTTCCTTTATTAAAAATTGTCCATCCAGCTACAATTTGTTGAGATACTGTGCACATGAATTGTCTGGTGACAGTTTTGTTAATTCTGCATTCCACAGTGAACACATTTGTTTTTTGTTTTGCACATCCTATAAATGATTGTTAGAGCAGGTCGATGTAATCTGGTTACAAACTTGAAAGAGAAAGAAAACAAGTCACGTTTCAAGGGTGAAGCAGGCTAATATTAGAATCAACCAGACTGAAATGGTTACAAACAAAGCAGAAATTATTAATATATATATATAAAAAAAATCTGCAATTTGTCTCTCAGTTGCCCTGTTTATGTTTTTGCCTTTTCTGTATCTTACAGTTACTTTTCAATTGACAGGATAATATAACTTTTTCATTTTTTAAGCTATGCTTAATTCTGCATTCTGTTTTGGTGTATTGTTGTTCCATGCACGTTTTTTTTTTTTTAAGTTTGTTTTGTGTAACAATCTTGTTTAAAATTAAAGAATAAAAGCTTGACTATCTTAAATTCAGGACCTCATACATTTTGAATAATAAAAGCTGCATTTGAAGGTATTTTATTTAAATTGTAGATATTTTTAAACTTTACATGAAGGTGAACTTGCATGTACCATTTAAGGAGTTTGTTTACGTTTTTTTATTTAAGTTTTCCTTAAATAAATGCAATTTTTAGGTTCACTGAGAGCAAACTTGATTCACCGGTAGAAAAGATTGCATAATGCACATGTTCGTAACCATACAGTGCCTTGCAAATGTATGCATACCCCTCAACAGTTGCAGCTACAACTGTATTTTATGATTAAATATTAACAGAGAGTAATTTTGTAAAGAGGAAGCAAAATAATGCTTAGGTTTCTGTTTTTTCTAATAAATAATGAAAGGATGATGTTTAGTTGTACTCATCCTGCTATTGTCAATCTAAAACAACTTTACAAAGGTAGTATGAATCATTCTGCTGTTTAAATAGCCGAATCTCAATTAAATTGAATATAACGCTGATGTTACTATTGACGCTTTAGCTCTGAATATTCTCACATATGAATATGGTTGAGCTAAAAATTTAATTTTCTTTCTATTTAACAAATTAGCGCCGTTTTTTGTTGGTCAGTTTCATTTTAAGATGTTTTTTTATAGGTACAGGTACTTTGCAAGGAATTGTATAGAAGTCATATGTCTGGTTTTGTCATTAAATTTTATTTTTTTCTGCATCTTGTTGAATCTTTTCATGTCTTTGGATATTTAGGGTCTGCTTCAGGAATGTAAATGAATATCTTTGGTAAAACCACATGGGTGCTTCTTGACTTTCAGCCGATGTGGTAAGTTTGCTTCAGTTTGTTGGGTAAAAAGCTCCCCTGCATTGCAAGATTTTGCAACCTGTAATAAATAAAGAATTACTTTAAAAGGATAAAGAAATCAATTGTCACTTGGGCTCACATTGGTTGCAATACTTTGGTTCAACAGAGTATTTGAAAAGAACCTTTAAATTTCAAGTCAATCAAACTCACTTGGTCGTATTTTGAGGACTGTGCGCAAATGTTTCATAAACATAGGACCTCCATGCTTCTTTATGAGCACTAGATGGCACAGTGCACTAAGAAATATTGGAGGTTGTTTATGATCTCAAAACAGGAATGTAACTTTACAGGAACAACATGTGGTTAGGGTTACAAATCAGTCTGCTGAGATGACAACTCTCCCATGTAGAGAGCGATATCTTCGACATAGAGTTCCTAGAGATGAGTGTTTACATTCCTCCTAAATACATGGCTGTGTTTTACACTTGACTGAGGGTGTGAATTGGTTTTCATAGTTTTAGTGATTCAGCACTAAAGTTTTTACAGCATGTCTTTAAATAAACATTTGATTAAATGCTTTAAATACTATGATGTTTATCAGGGTTTAGATTCAGAAGACTTTTTGACATAAGGGAAACCAAAAGATTTTTCTCTCAAAAATAGAATGTAATACTTTTCGGCCATTTGATAACAAATCAGGAGATCTGGGGAACTTAAATTGAATTTTTTATTTTTCAAAAGACTAAAGTGTATTTATTTAAAAATAGGTGGTTGAAAACTATTACAACCTTTTTGTTTTTTCTCTCAGCGATTGAAATCTGATATGCTGCAAACTGTTAAGGGCAAAGAAGGACCAAAGACATTTGATAAAGCCAAGTAGAATTTCACAGCCATTGCACTCAAATTCAGCAAATACCAGTAAAATCCCAAAAGCAGTGCAGGCCGTGTATCTGTTGTTTTTCGCATAGTATGTGCCTGATAAAAATAAGAAAACACAAAGTTAAATGTTCTCATGCTGCTCTCCCTGCTCCTTGTTTTGAATCATTGATGTAATTATTTTATGGGAAATCTATATAAAGCAGAGAGATTGCTACAGATACAGACTGATTTTAATGTTGCCATTAAATTTCTTGCTAGTTTGAGTAAAAGTTGATAAAAATGTATATAAAGAATAAAAAAAGCAACAAACTGATGCAACTTTGCAAACCGAAGCAATCTCCCTGTTGGATATTTTATTCTGGAGATGCTTTCCAATTAAATAAAGGTTAGAGTTCATGACAGCACTGGTCATGAACTTTAACCTTTAATGTGCTAAATGAGACATGTAGTATCTGACATGAAGCTCTTTGGTTTCTTTCAGTTTCTTGAAGCCTTAAAGCAGACTGACTTCAAGGTGAGCTATCTAGCAAACTAACTTGAAAGAGTATTCTTTGTTTCTTTGAAGATTTAACATGTTTGTAAGTATTTTTCAGGGTTTTAAACCAACTTAAATTGCTTTAAAAAGGCTAAGGCTGATGAGCAATGCTGTTGTATCCCCTTCAGGAGTAGATAAGGGCTGCTAAAGCCAACTATGGAACTTGGATGTTTTCACCTGGCTAAGGTGAAATTACTTAATTGACAATTTGTCTCTTAATTGCTAAGGAAACAGTTATTCCAACCCTTTGGTTGAGTCTTACTCTATTTTCTATGTTGGTTTGCATCTATGCTGCAGGGTTTTACATTTATTAAAGGCTGCAAAGAGATGTTTTTTTTTTTTAAATAGATGTAAATCATACCACATTTATTGTCCAGCTACTGCTTAGCATATGGAACTTATAAATAGTAATTTTAAGTACTGTTCAAAATTTAAAAAAAAAATGCTTTTTTTTTAAATAAAAGAACAGACACAAGAAATATAAGAAAGAATATTTTACTGTTTATACCAAATGACCGCCATCTCCCAGTACAATTTATTTCTAAATAGTCTTATAATAAACTTGCTGCCACAAACAAATTGATTGAAGAAACCTTCATGTTTTCATTTTAAAATAAAATTAAAACCTAACAGAGAACAGTAAAACTGTATTAAAACATCCCGCATATTTCATCAGATTTCTTTAACATATAAGAGGCTTTACAAGAGAAATGATGAGACCTCAGGTCTGCTGTATATCCAGAAGTCAAAACATGTGTTGTTTTTGTATTAAATCAATCCTGATAGTTATTTTCACTGAAAAGATTAAATAATTGGGTTGGAAAAACAAGTCAAACTTTTTCAACAAACAAAATGTCTTCTTCAAAGTCTAAATCACACATGCCATTCAGCCTCACCATCATGCACATCAGAAACAAGCAAAACAAAATATGACAAATCGATTACAGTCTATTTAGGAGGAGCGCTGATTTGGAGTTACTGCCATGTCAAAGCGTATTGGCAGAAAAATCCTTTGGATATGGATTTAAAATAAATATATAATAGATAAAACAAATGATCATACAAATACATGCAGAGGCCTAAAGCTTTCAACCAGAGGTGTTTCCTTTCTGGAAATTATATTTAAAACATGAATCCCATAAGACATTCTTTTAACGGGCTCACTGTGTGTTCAACTTAACTGGAAGAACCATCTGGGTTTGCTGCGAGTTTAAAAATGTACAGACAAGTTTGTATTTGAAGGTAACTTGAGAGTTGCATAACGGGAACAGTATGCATACCATACATTATGTATGACGCAATGTCCATCACTCTATTAATACCCCCATAAAAAAGATCGTGTAACTCAGGGGTCAGAAAAAACAAGCCCCAAATATGAAGCTGTAATTTTTTTTTTCTTCATTAGGCTGACATAGATTTTTGGTCTTAAACTACCTGAAGTAAAGGCAGATTTTAAACCTGAGGCTGTGTTGTCTACATAACAAGGTAAAGTCCATCTAGAGTCAAAACACTTGTGCTCTTACATTACAGATTCTGTCCTTTGAAATAAAATTACAGGTTTATTGCTAAACATGTAAAAAAACAACAAAAAAAAAAATAGGACATGTAGTAACAAGCCCCCTCAGAAAAAAAAAAAAAAACATCTGTACAATTCACTATATATCATCATGGCCATTTTCAGACAGATTTAAGGCAAGTGGATCGACTACTTTTTTGCAACATGGGCTTCATCAAGCTTCATCAAGCTTTATTGGATCGTTGCCTCTCTGCAAACGAGAAGATATTACTAAAATAATGTAAATGGAACCCATTACAGTACAATTGAATGATTCCAACAATCTAAAAAAAGAGAAATAGTGCAGATAGTTACAGATTGTACCTTTGGTTACTCTGCAGGAATAACATCATAATCTAAAGAAGAAAGTGCATTTTTTCCTCTATACTATGAATAAATTTGGCCTGGAATCGTTTTTGGCAAGTTAGCCCACCAATTAAACTTTCCCATGTCCATACAGTTAAAAAAAATGATTTAAGATAGTCAAAACAAATCATGAACATCCTTAACTCTTATCAGCAGCTGTCTGTGCTCTACTTTCAGCAGCATGGAGAAAAGCTGCTTTCTCTACACAAACAGCATCACAAAACACCCCGTTTGGGTAATGATTACAGTAGCATGTCATAGTTTGCAGGTGATCTCTAATCAAAGTGTCTTATTTTAATTGAAAATTCTAAAGTGTTGCCAAACAAAAAGATAAGCTGGAAAAGGGTTGGTCACAAACAGTTGGTCACATTTCTCTATTTAAAACGACTTAAGGACTCTCACTTTAAGATTTAACAACAAAAACAAGAAAACGACTGCATCCGCAGCACAGTTACACTTCAGCAACCCTGCGTTGATGCGAATCGACAGAACTCTCCATCCAGAATGCATGTAGTTCCACTGGATGAAATGTGAAAGAAGCTGTACTTATGTTTAGCCCATTTGGAAAATATTTGATTGCACAATAAATATTTCAATCTAAAATATTTCATATTAACTATAGAAACTATTTTAGGTTCAAATATTGACTCTTTTTTTCCTTACACAAAAAGACAGTTTCGGTCGGAAGAACAATGATGCACAACGGATACGAGAGCAGCAGAGCCTCATATTCATTTTCCAGCATGAATAAATGCACCATCTGCAGTGTTATATCCCCCTAAAAAATTAAATAACCCACTGAGTGTATCATGGTTTCTATTTTGATTTTAGCTGGACAACCCCCCTCCAGAAAAGTGTTTGAGGTCCAAGAGTATTGTTTTGCATTGTAGTGCACATGTCCATCCTCTTTGCTTGGACTCTTTTCTTGAGGTGAAAGGGGGAGTTTAAACTTTCCGTGTGCCGGAAGGTTTGTGAAAGAAAAAAAGTCTCCAGGTAGATTACATGGCTGAGTCTTTCTCGGCAGAAAGGACTGCTTTAGCACCGTCTAAGCCTCGTTTATCGATGAGCGGCGAGTTTTCCGGGATTGCAGCAGATTCTATCCTGACCTCCCCGAGCTCCGTTACTCCTTCGTGTTTGGAAGTTTTATCCACGAAGAACTGCAGGAGTCCTGCTCCGAATGCGTCACCCTCCACGTTCAGAATCGTGCAGGTACGGTCACTAAAGAGGGACAAAATTGACAAGAAGATTTAATGCCAGGAACAATCTGAAAAGTGCAAAATGGATTTGCACATATACTTGTTACACTTTTAACCTTTTGTATTTCTAAAACAATGTTGAAAGCCAAATATCATGCACCTTTCACCTCAAACCTATGCCCTGATTTGTGGTCTGCTGTATAAAACAAAGTTCTTTGAAGTTTGTGGTTGTAATGTAATAAAATGCAGGTTCAAGTGGTACAAATGCTTCTCCGAGACGGTGAATGCAGGTTGTTTACTCACACAAGCCAGTCAACAGCCAGGATGAGAGAGATGTCAGAGGTAGGTAGTCCTATTGCTTCCAGGATAATAGCTAGGGTCAGCACACCACCTGCAGGTATACCTGCTGCTCCGACACTGGACGCTGTAGCTGTGACCCTAAAACAGAAGGCACAAATGTCACTAAACTGTAAGATTTACAAAACATTTATTACAAAGCCAGAGCTGCAAATATATCAAAATGGTTTTTAAGTGATCTGTGCAAGGGGACATACAGGATGGTTATGACTTGAATAAAGTTGAGACTGGTGTTGTTCAGCTGGGCGATGAAAACCGCCGCCACACACTGGAAGAGCGCAGCGCCGTCCATGTTGACGGTGGCGCCGATGGGCAGGATGAAGCGGCTGATGTGCTTGGAAACGCCGTTTTTCTCCTCCACGCACTTCATCATGAGAGGCAGAGTGGCAGAGCTGAAGTCAGGAAGCAGAGCAGGGGGTGAGTGAATGAGACTGTGTGTTCTTTAAAGACAAGAGAGCCTCAGTCTTTGGATATTTAACAACCCTGACTGAGCAAACAGATGAGAGTTAGAGGAAAAAAAAAAAAAAAAGAAAATACCTGGAGCTCGTTCCGAAAGCCGTAGCCAGGGCTGCTAATATGCCCCACAGGAAGGTGTATGGGTTCTTCCTTGTAATGATGAAGTAGATGCCTGGTAGCACCAGCAGGCCATGGATGGCATGCCCAATCATGCAGCAGGCGATATATTTTCCCAGGCTAGCAAACAGCTTGCCAACGTCATCCATCTCCACAATCTTACCGGCGACGAGGAACATGATACCGAGAGGGGCGTACCTGCAGCCAGACGAGAGAAAAGAGGACAATACTGTAGATCAGGTTTCTGGAACAGGGCACAAAGGAAATGTAGCTCACTGATAAACCTTACTTAGCCTATTATCAATGCATTGTAATAAAAACAACATCTGACAACTACATTTACCCAAACTATGAAAGCAAACTCTAAACTTTGAGAAATGGAACGCCCTGGATTCTGTACTGTTTGTAAATCTTGCTTTGTATTTACCGGGTATATTAAAAAAAAGGCAAAGTGTAATGAGATCAAATAAGTACATAAATCTAAGCCTCAAAATTAAATATTTTTATCATAGCAGAATTACTTTATAGGATTCTAAAAAAAACAACCTATAAGTTGTTCAAACTGTGTGTTGTTTTCTAATGGACTGTACATTTTTTTTACATTTTCCATTCAGTATCATCATCTTCACATTTTGACATTTTTGTTGGGCTCTCTTAGTCAAAAACAACCAAACTTTGATGCTTATATCTTCTTACCACATGATCCAAGAGACCAGAACCATGGTGGCCTCATTAAAGGAGTTAAAGAACCGGATGAGGATCTCTCCTTCCTCACCCAGCTTCCTCAGAGCCACGCCAAAAACAATCGCAAAGACAACCAGTCCAAGGATGTTCATGCCATCTTGCTCTGATCCAACAGGAACCTGAAAAAGGTAAAATTTACAAAAAAAAAATCTATATTGAAGGAAGAAAGAAAACATTTAAAAAATCTTTAGAGCATTGCTGCAAAAAAAAACAAAAAAAACGTACCTTTTCCCCTGTGATGTTCATGGTTTCATTGCCTTTTAAATGCTTGTAGGTTGTTGCATACTAGGTGGAAAGAATCAGCTTATTAGTTAAGAACGCCCAGAAGCACATGAAACACTTATCAAGCTACTTTTTGTTATGCAAGGCTGTAAGCTAGACTGTTGAAATAAATCACAGATTTATAGTTTAACACCTACCGACTGAAATGCAGCAGACACCAGATTGGAGGGGAAGATGTTTCTGTAAAATAATAAAAAATAAAACACAATCAATTATCTCTTTTCACAAATCCACACAGCAAAAACAAAAAAAACAAAAAACGGTAACTAAGCTCAGTTTTTAGGCACTTAATCATCTGTGTCAGCTGAGGATTCTTTGTGATGCAGACAGCTCAAAATGACTCAAAGAACTAAACTATTAATCCTCTTTACTCCTTCTGTGCTCCTATTATTTAATGCCATGGAGGTAAGAACTCTGACATAATGTATGCAAAAGCTTTTGGTACTAGTTGGTACAAACTGCAAACAAAATCTCCCAAGAATTTGCAAAACCTTGTGAACTTGATTCCCCTATAGTCGGTTAAATGATTTAGAACATGAGGGATAAACTTCACAAGCTTCTACTAATCAGCCAATCATTGGAAACATCAGACTCAAACATCATGTGATGAGGCAGCCGTCTGCCATGTCTGCAGATGAGACAGGAAGGCTTCAAATAACGGGGAAAATGGAATGATACTTGGATTTATGAAACTATCGTTCATCTAGTCGAACATTTAACCGTTACCCCTGTTTTCCATTCACCTTATTTGTTTAATCCAATAAAACAAAACAAAAAAATCCAAACATGCTCTGGCTATAAAACAGCCAGAGACAGATAATGGTTTAAAAACATGCTTTGATGTTAAATGGGAACATTTAATCTCTTTATTTTCGTTTAGATTCAAAACTACCTTGATAAAAAAACTGGCAGCAGCTTTTTTGTCCATTTTATACATTATTGTCACTGAAGGAAAAGTGCATTTCATTCTTTTGTTAGACTGTTTGTAAATAAAAGAATAATTATGCATTGAATAGTCCTTTTTATTAAGTTATACGTTTCCTGTGACACAACTTGAAGAAATACAGCCCTGAAATACAGCAGTTTGTTGCCTAATTTCTGAAATAAAATAACTTTTTAATTCCCTAATATATTAAGAGGCAATTTTACAGTTTGCTTTGGACACCAAGAAGAGGACCCACACATTAGAAATGGTTTCCAATGCATGTGTTTCACTGCCCTTTTCTCACTTAGGCATACAGCAGCTCACACCTGAAAAGCTCTACTTCCTCTTCCTTGTTTTGGACGTTATTTTGTTTTAAATATTAATGTGAAACTCGATCCGGCTCATGAATACCTGGTTCCCCTTAAGTTCTCCTCAGCAGACTGCTGTATTTAAACTCAGTTACAGAATGTGCCCCTAGCTAAGACAGTAAATGGGACATTGCTATGTAAATTGTGAGTTAAATGACAATGGTGTCATTGTCATTCCAATGTGACTGGAACTCACACACACAGAGTCATCACATGTTGCTGCAAAGGTGTGTCTTAAATTTGTCTGACGTCTTCTTGGGAGTTTTGTTGTCTCCTCCAGGGCAACGAGAAGAATAAATGTTTGACTTTATAAACCTTACAGCTGTTATTGTTGGTGATCATTAATACAGATGAATGCCAAACAAACAAGCTTGCTCTTTTTGTTTGTTTTTGGTACCTTATAGGTAGGGGCACACTGGAGATAAGAAATGTCAACACGGATGCATGGGAGTGGCTGTGAACTTGTTAAAAGTAGTCCAATGATGCCCGGCCTGGTGATGTGTTCAGTTTTATGAATAGAGTGACTTTCATGGGACAACAGCTCAGATCCACCCAGAAACAGAGGCACCAAGACACAGGCAGGCAGATGGGGCGCCCTCTAATGACAAACCTACTGTCTGATAAGGATAACGTGGAAACATTCATGTGTTGGAAGATAAACTTCCTTTCTAACATGAAACAACTGATAACTGGAATCATGCCGCACTCAGAAGGCCAACCGAGTAAGAAACTTGTTTCCCAAGTTATCTACAACCACTACTACTACTACTAATAATAATAATAATAATAATAATAATAATAATAATAATAATAATAATACACAAAAAACTAGGGTTGCAACTAACAATTAATTTGCTAATCAATTATTCAGTTGATTATTTTTTTATTATTTAATTAATAATCTGAGTGCAAAACGTTCTTTAAAGAAGATTTTTTGCAGCATTAAACCAGGTGAGACTGAAATCTTTCCATTTCTGGCTTTCTCTATAAAATATATTGATGGACGAAAAAGGTTTTTTTTTTATTAAAATGTTATATAATATATAAAATATATTTTATCAATTTTTAGTATAATTACTGCTATAAGTTGTTTGCTATGTTACCTAAAGGCATGTTTTAGAATCTATACTCCAGTTAACAATTAATTGATTACTAAATTAGTTGACGATTATTTTGCTAATCGATTAATCAAAATTGATCCAATTAATTGTTTCAGCCCTATAAAAAACTATTAGTAATCTTTGCTTTTTATGAAAGTAAAAAATTAACCTGCAGCCTTTATGGGTTAATCACATTTATATGTTACTTTAATCAGAACTAAACATGGTGGGTTACAGAAACAGTTTTATTTTACAATTAGTTCTGCTAGAGTTGAGTTGAGACCCATATTTGTTTCTAATTATAAAAAAAATAAAATCCCTTGAGTAAAATTTCACAGTTACTTCATTGCTTCTTGTTTCCCAGCAACCCCTCCTGTTTTCTTCTGTTGGGCTTTTTGTTTGATCTGGGACTAAAAGTCCTCTATAAAAAGAATAATAAAGGGCAGATTCTCTAATTGTTTCCAGGCATTTAAAACCCTCAAAAAAAAAAAAAAAAAAAAAAAGAAAAGAAAAGAAAAGAAAAGAAAGAAAGAAAGAAAGAAAGAAAGAAAGAAAGAAAGAAAGAAAGAAAGAAAGAAAGAAAGAAAGAAAGAAAGAAAGAAAGAAAGAAAGAAAGAAAGAGGAGGGAGTGCCTTATTTGAGGGTGCAGAAAGGATAATTTCAGGAGATGATGTTGCTAATCACGCATCTGGTTTTACAACATGTTCTGATAAATACTCAGGTACAGGGAACTCTTCATGCCTAAAGCATTGCTGCCACTTTAATCATCATTGTTGTTCTTTCAAGCAAAGACACCCTGCCCCATTTTCATATATACTCGGAATCCCTTTACCAGCACATGTCTAACACCAGAAAAGGTTAAGCTAATCAGAGGCTCATTTGCATGCAGCCTTAAGTATTATGTCAGTAAATAAATAACATATTATGCTTCAGATTTGCATTTTAAACACAATAGCTCCTATGGAGGTTGGTTGGTGCTGCAGGAGGAGGAGCAGTTAGGAGATGTGGGATTTCCATCCATTATTACTGGAAGCTGGCTTGAAAATAACATTATGCAACAGCTGCACATATGCAGTCGGATTTGGAGAGATTTCTACGAGTTCAGAGAAGTTTTTAGCTGAATGATTTCTGACCTCACTAATAAAAGATATAATCAAACATCTAAGGAGTCTTCAGACGTGGGTTTCTGGCACTGGAATTGCTTGTTATTGTACCGGTATATTGATGAAAAAGTCCTTTTTAATTAGAGGCAAGGTTAAGAAGATGACTTATTAACTCATATAAGCTTGTTATATAACTAAAAAGAATATTAAAAAGTAAAAAAAGCTTTTCTTTTTCCTCTCTTAAATCTTTTCCCATTAAATGTTTCTAAATGATGCACATTTTAACCATAGACTCTTTGATATTTTAAGTAAAGTAACAGCTCCCTATGGGTTAAAATTAAATTGTCAAAAGATGTTGCCACTGCAGACTCTGACTCAGTTGTTGCTTTTCTCTGGGCACTTTTTTCCACCTACAAGTGAAGCAACACATGCTACATAAATATGACACATGGATATACAAATAAAAGGTTTTGAATATATTAAAAAAGAGAAAGAAAGGAAAAAGAATCAAATTTTAATGTCAATAAGCCAGCAGGCATATTAAATTAGAGACATGTGAGTGCAGATTATTGCTGAGGCACAAGCTTGAGTCTAAATATAATCTAACCAGACACTACTGTGTTACAGGCTGGTTTGGTGAGAGGCAGTTTTCTGTTAACGGAAATCCTCTGACATCACTGGAACAGAGGGTGGAGAAACTTGTTTGGTTTTTTTTTCGCCTATTCTATTCATTTATTTTATTTTTAGCATTACGCATACCACTCATGACCAGGAAGTCCTTCAAAATGAATGCTGCCATTCCACGTGGAAATAAAAAAAGCCACATAAGTGATCATTAATTATTACATCAATATTATAATAGAACAATAGAATAGTTTAGGAATGCATCATTGGCACATGGAGCCAGCATTTTTAAATACTGAGATCAGTGTACAGTAAGTTGATCATGCATGGAGGCGGAAAGTTGGTCTGGGGAAGTTGAATGACGAGAGGAAGAGAAAAAAAAGCTGATGCAACCGTTTGTTGTCCTTACAGCGCGCATTCAGGTGAGCGAGCGCGCGTGCGTAATGGCTGTAAGAGTAACCACGTTTATTCCCTTTGAGGAAACTTTGCGCGGGGCGCACATAAACAATTACGCACAAAACCTTACCTGATCAAGTCTAGGAAGGAGTCGATGACTTCTTTGGTAGCCGGGACGTCGTCGGTTATCTCACTGACCACCTTTCCGTCGCTCACGTCCACGTTTCCCGGCTTGATGATGAAAGCCATCACCACCCCGATGGATGAGGCCAACAAGGTGGTCACCAAGAAGAACAGCATGGCCCAGCCGCCTAACTTCCCCAGAGCTTTGGGGTCGATGCTGGCCGCTCCGGACACCAAGCTGCACACCACCAGGGGGATGATGATCATCTTCAGCAGCCGGATGAGGATCTCACCAGGAAAGCCGATGTAGATCTTCTGGGTTTGGGTCAGCGACACGTTTCTCACACCTAGCCCGATAAAGACCCCCACCAGGACCCCGGCAACGGTCAGGATCACCAGCAGGTTGGCCATGACGATCCTCTTCACGCGCTGGGACAGCGGCTCCGGGTAGCCCTTCCTCTGCCCGGGCAGCCCGTTGGCCAGCGGCTCATCGTGGTGCGCCTCACCGTTGGATGCCTTGATTTCCTCCAAGTCTATCTTCTCAGCCATGTTGATCAAAGTCCTTTAACTCAAAGACTCAACTTTAAAGTTCAAACTAAAGTATTGTCTTTGAATGAGGCGGGAGTCTCTCTAGCTACAGCGTGGTTTCTAACCAGTTCCTGTCTTCCGATGCGCATATAAGGCTCACATTCAGCCGGCATTTAAACCGCCCCTTTACGTAAGAATGGGTGTGAGCTAAAAGGAAACTCGCGTTGGCTGCTTAATTCCACCCATTAAAATAAAACTTCATGGCGTATGTGGCATCTTATTGTGCTTCACATTCACGTAAAGAATTTAGTTTTAATGTTTGAAAACATCAAGTCACAAAGATTTAATACTTCTATGGCCGAAAGGAGACAAACTAACCTTTTATTAAGCACACAGCTGTTACATCATGCATAAAACGTGGCACTACAAAACAGTTTCCTTAAAAGAACATACAATTCTTTTAGAAGAACCTTTAGTGAAAAAATACTATTTGAAATGTTTTGATTTCTTACAAAAAAAAGAATGTATCACTTAGAAATTAAAGTACAAGGCTATGAGAGAGCACACCATACCATGAAATGTAGCTCAATCTTCACAGTTTTCTTTTTCCCTTAAATATTTCTATTAAACTTAAACTGAGTAAATATCAAAATCAATGTTCAAATTAGGAGTCATTTTACTGAGGGGATTTTGATTTCAAAATGCCATTTAAACCAACTTAGCCCAATTTCAAAATGTATTTGATAGTTTCAATGTATCCAGAAGAACTGTAAATAATTAAATTTCTGATAAATGCTATCCACAAACATAGAAAATACAGTAAAAGTAGTGAACCCTCAGGAGTGTCACCGAAATCTGTTTAAAAGCAATTCACAACTCATTCAGGAGGTCCTACAAAAACCCAAAACACATCTTAAGCATGGCAGGGGTCGCTTTCTTTAGTTCTGGTTAATTAAAGAAAAAAAGGGCAGTTCATTACTTATCTCTTACGAGTGGAAAACTGAAGTGGACATCTAATGGCTTTCTCCTAATCAAAGTTCTTTTTTTTTGAGTGATTGATTTAAAATGTCTCTATGTATCATTAGTTCAACTTTATTATTTTCTCTAGTCTAACTGTTTTTAACGTTCTTTTTTGTTTCTGCATTTTTGTTTTATTTTATTTTTTTCCTACTTGCTGTTTTATTTTCCTATATTTTAATCATGTAAAGCACTTGGTATTGTCTTTGTACTGAATTGTGCTATACAAAAAAATGTGCCTTGCCTTGCCTTGCCTTGCCCATGATATATCAGAATCTTAAATTACATTTCTTTTTCTAACTAACAATTGGTTGAATCCAGAAGGAAACTGGTAACCATTGGTTTTAATCAATGCTAGCAGATTAAAATCGACTAGATATTAGGGCTCTATTTTTTTGCTACTTGTTGTTGATTTATGACATAAAACCCTGATAAAGTAAATATAATTGTGGTAATAAAAGTAAAAGAGGTCCAAATATTTTACAAAGTAATGTTATCTGGACAACGGTTCTGTTTTTTGTTTTTTTTTGACAATTTGAGAGGACCGTGTATCCTTCTGTAAAATGCACCTCGCTAAGATGTAGTATTGTCAAAGGTATCAAGGCCCAAAAATATCAATACTCAAACACTATCCAGATACGTCACTGATTTGGGATGGTATCGATTATAAATGTTTGCATATTTTTGCAATTGTTGTGATTTTAGATTATTTTCACATTAAAAGAATAATACCTTAAACAAACTAACAAAACATCAAATTGTGTTATTTTTTACGTATATATTTTACATTTATTTGAACACTTATTTAACTAATAAAATCTCTGATTCTGTTGAGAAAGAACGTTTCATGTTGAGATAGAAAAATGGGAGATTCCCATGTTAATAAATATGTTTATTTTTGTGCTTTAGCCATTTTTTATTTTCATCATATTGAAAATGGTATCAAGTATTTTGCTGTGTAGCTATATTTGGTTTGAAACATTAGAATTGTGACAACCTTATAGTTGGAAAAGATATTGCATCTAAATCTGATGTCTGAACTTATTTGAATTTTTTTTTCCAAAATTATGTTCTAACCTTATAAGTTATTATAAATATAGGTGCTTAAGGGTGTTTTGCATTCAAAATGCAGCCATTAGGACTAATCCCCTCTCTCCTTAATAAGAGTGGCAGTTAAAGTAGGGCACACTGACATGGTAGAGGTGGAGGATTTCTCTGCCGCTTTGCACTGCCACTGGATTTGGATGTCACCTCCGTCCTTTGGGTGTTTATTTTTTCCTTTATAGAGAATCAATTAAACAAATGTTTATTTATTTGCTTTGTGCAGAAAAACATCAAAGCAAAATACAAAAAAATTCACACAGAGCGATAACATTATCCACTATCCTAACGTGTCTGTATCACTGTGCTGTTTCTTTTCTAATCAGTGCTGTGATGAAAAAACAGCAGAGATGTATTGCATAACTATTTTCATTTTCAGTTATATGCTGTTTCAAAATAAAGTCTGAATGAAAGCAATGAGCAAAACTGAATGACTGAGAAAGAGACAGTAAGGTAACGGTGTTAAGTTTCTCTGAGAAGGAGGTGTCCTGGCTGCCACCATGCAGCATTTGGCAAGATGTGTTTTCAACTGTAACTCAAGACAGACACTTATTGTCTGGGAAACAGAGGCCTACAGTCCGATATCTGAAAAATGTCCATGCATTCTGACCCAAGACTCTCTGGAGTTACCTTACACTTAAACAACAATGCAAGCACTTTTTTTTCTTTATAAAAAGCTCCCATTGGTAGAAATTGGTGGGAAAAGCACCTTTAACACTAAAAAAAGCCCACAGGACCAGAACCCAGGCTGGTAGGGAGCTGTCCTCTCAGCAGTCAGTCTGTTATATCGAGCTGGTTTCCTTTGTTCCCTCTGCCTGTGTGTAAATGATTGCTGAGGATCACTGGGATTCTGTGAAACAGTGTGATATCCTGTGAGAATGGACAACCTTTAAGGCTGAACCTTTAAGGCATTATCCAGCCAGTTGAGTTTTTCTAAAGTAGATCACAATCCATTAAAAGGCAGGCTGTGCATATTGTAATGGATATGTAGGTTGACTTACAGTACAGCATAATCTCTTCTAAGTGTGGGGTTGAATTTCTATCATTTTAATGTATTTTTATTCACATTATAGTCTGTAAAAAATCAATTTAAGTCCACCTTGTGTCAATACTTTCTCTGCAATCACTATTAAGCTGTTTTAAAGAAAAGTGTATAATGTTTGCAAGGTTATAGATTTTTTTTCCATTATTCTTTGGAAAATAGTTAAAGATTGGATTGAAACCATCCGCTACACAATCATATCCATAACCCTAAACTTGACTCTTGATGCCAAAGAGCATCCATGCCACATGAAGTTGCCAAAACCACGTTTGAATGTGAAATTATTCACATACTTCTATACTTCTATTATATTAAACTGCTTTCCCAGCTTACTTGGACTCTGCTTCAAGGCTAATAGAGGGCCTTCTACGGAGGCAAATTCATGAGGTTTTCTGATTCCTCCTAACGACTCATCCATCCTAGAAGGATGCTGAACTACTTATTACTGTTCTGTGTGTGAATTACATTGTTGAGGAGCTTCAGCAGTAGTACCTTTGCTGCATATATAAGACTGCAGCGATACTGGAATCTGTGCTTAAATTTCAGCCAAACCCATTTACACAGGGACAGATAAAACCTTTAAATAAACCAAACATTATCCACAGCATACCTGACACACAAAACATTTAAATTAACTATTTTCAATAATTTAAGATGAAATTATTCACATACTTCTATTATATTAAACTGCTTTCCCAGCTTACTTGGACTCACAATGAATCACAGGATAGCCAATTCTACGACGGATACAGCCACCTGTTCTTCCCTCTGGGCGAAAAGAAGGCAGTATTTGTTAGCATTTGATATCTTACAAGTTTGATGATGATTTTGATAAAGGCTTAGCATTATAACAGATTTGAAAGCTGAAAAAATGTCCCTTTAAAACAAATGCCAACAAAAGGAGAAACGTGTCAATATCAAAATAAGCTTGCAGTCTAATGTTATTTAGTGCATATTAATATGTATTCTTGTTCAGCTCACAAAATAGAATTAATTAATCTTCAAATAGACTAAAAACATGTTTTAACAACAAATCCTTGTGTTATCAAGATGTTTTAAACCAAGGCTGTCTAATTACCAAGTTCATTTTTGATCAATCATTAAAAAGTACAAAGTATGTTAATTGTGCCTTTGATGTGTAAATTTATGACCAGTCTGTTCTAAACATCAGCATTCATCAGGATAACATTCAAAAGTTGCCATTCATCATTACAAGCCACCCACTCTGACCTACTGTGAAGACTTTATTGCTCAGTTGATGAAGTAACTGTTCTGATCAAACAGAGAGAAATGTCTAGCGTGAAACAAATGCAACAGGGACAAGGAAAAACAGGATGCCAGATAACCAAACTTCTTTTATAGCTAATAAACAGATGAGAGAAAGAAAGGCTGGTCATAAAATAATCAGATACAGACCCTCATTACTTACAGATTCCTTCTCTCTTTGTTACCACTTATGTTTCAAACAGCATCTTAAGTTTGATTCCAGAGAAAGGTATAGATTAAACATGAAATTCACTTTTCAAATGATGGTGAATTTTGATTAAATACATGCTTTATATTTACAAAAACTAAAATGCAGGCCAATGTGGATGCATCACAGCATCTGTAGGTTGAATCAAGACTTAAATGGGAATTAACACATTTAGTTTGGTTTATTATACTCACAACAGAAAGACCTGATGTGATTACTGCTAATCTGTAGCACAATAACCTCGCCTAAATAGAACCTTCATGATGTGATGAAGTAGGCTTGAATGGCTCTTTTCCTTTGAAAAATGAAATCATCATTTGACTTCTACAAACTGCTATTTGTATTTAGTGTATCTTTTTCTAAATACACTTTATTTTATTATATAAAAGACATTTATGAATACTTAATGGGAGGATTTTTTTTTTTTTTTTTGCCATCAAACCAAGCGAGACATGGTAACTGTACTTTTTCAATAAATGAACCTAGTGTTTTATAGGTTCAAATAGNGTGTGGACGGGGCCTTGGATAAATGCAA